AGGAAGAGTGAAGGCTTGGATTTTGGAAGTGGCTGAGGCCACCAGAGTGGAGAAGAGGAGCATCCTTAAAAGAATTGAGGAGATTGATATGAAGGAAAGGGTCCATATTGGTCAATTAATCTAATAGAGGAGATGCGGGACTTAAAACATCATTTCCGTCAAATTATTGAGAGGGAGGAAGGGGGCTTGAGTTAAAGTGTAATTCCTCTTGGGCTAGGGAAGGAGATGCCAATACCAAGCTATTCCACATATTACTCAAGGCTAGGAAAACCATGAATACAATTTCCAAATTGGAAAATGAGGCTGGGAATGTGGTGGAAGATGAGGAGATCGTTAAGTTGATATATGATTTTTATGAGGATTTGTATACATTGTCTAGAGGGCATATCCACGGTATTGAGGGTTTAAATTGGCGCCCAATCTCCGCGCTGGCTGTTGATTTGTTAGAGAGGCCTTTTGAAGAGGATGAAATCAAAATAGCAGTTTTTTGCTGCGACGGAACAAGGCCCCAGGCTTCGATGGTTTCTCCCCGTATTTTTCGCAAGAATGCTGGAGTTTTGTTAAAGGAGATCTTTTGTCTCAAGGTGCTTTTGCTGCGGGGTGGCAGATCGTGGATTTAGTTTTGGTGGCCAATGAGGTTGTAGAAGATAACATATCGTCGGGCAAGGAAGGAGCCATTATTAAAATCCACTTCGAAAAGGCATATGATAATGTAGAGTGGACAATTCTAGATTTTGTGATGGAGAGAGGGATTCGGGGTCATATGGAGAAGATGGATTTCGAATTATCTTGCTTTAGTTTCGTATTCAGTGTTAATCAATAGTAGGCCACAAGGCAAGTTCGCTGCTTCCAGAGGGTTGAGACGGGGATCCGTTGTCTCCGCATTTATTTACGATTACGGTGGACATCTTGAGCAAATTGGTCAACAGGGCAGTGGTAAGCTCTAGTTTCAAACCACTTAAAGTGGGAAGATCCAACGTCAAAATTAGCCAATTGTAGTTTTCTGATGATGCTATCCTTCAGTGCTCCAGAGGAAAGCTTGTCAAACTTATCTTCCATTATGGATATTTTCCGTTTGATTTCTGAGCTGAGAGTAAATTTGGACAAAAGCATTATTCTAGGAATAAATATGGAGGAAGAGAGGCTGACTAGTTTGGCTGGGGTATTTGGCTGTGCGATAGGATCTTGGCTAGTCAAGTATTCGGGGTTATCCTTTGGAGGAAATCCATTGCAACCAGCTTTTTGGGAGCCGGTGGTTTGTCCAGTCAAGTATTCTGTGCAATAGGATCTTGGCCAGTCAAGTATTCGGGGTTGGATGGGTGGAAGAAAGCCTTTTTGTCAAAAGGGGGTCAGCTAACTCTCATTCAGTGTGTCCCATCTTCTCTACCCATTTATTACTTGTCCATATTTAGGGTTCGGATTGGTGTAGCAGGGGTGATTGAAAAGCTCATCAAACTTTTTATGAAAGTGATTTTCCAAGGACAACACCACTTATCTTATGGCTTGGAAGCAATTGTGTAGGCCGAATGAGTTAAAGGGGTTTGGGAATCGGCAATATAAGGAAAAGAAATGAGGCTCTCTTGGCCAAATGGCTTTGGTGTTTCCTTTTAGAGTCGGATTCTTTTTGGCATAAAGTCATTGTAGGGAAATACAGGTTTAATCTAAATAATTGGGATTCCGAGCCAGCTAATAGAACCAAATTTAGATGCCCATGGAAATCTGTCGAATCAATAGCAGATGGTTTCTTTCAACAGGTTAAGTAGAAGGTGCGTTTGGAAGGAATTATCAGATTTTGGGAAGATATCTGGGTGTGTTGGAGGTCCACTGTGCATGAGATTTCCTGCACTATACAGGCTTTCCTCCCTTCATGATGAGCCTATTGTAAATTTTGTCGTGACATTAAATGATCGGGGTGCCGAGTTTGCGAGTAATTCTTGGGATTTAAATTTTTGAGGAGTTTGACTGATAGGGAATTGGGGGAGGTCTCTGAGCTAATCCATGTTGTGGAGAGGATAAATATAACCATCAGGCTCCAAGACAGACAGGTCTGAGGCCTAGATGCAAGCATATTGTCTCTGTCAAATCCTATTTTTCCCACCTTAATGGTGATCAATCAGTCTAGCCTTTTGCATTTTTCAAGAGCATTTGGAAAACCCGCTTTAAAGTTGAAGTTCAAGTTTTTTGCTGGCTTCTTGCTCTTAATAAACTCAACACATGATTGATTTCAGCGTCGTAGCCCTTTCATTTCAATTTCTCCTGGCTAGTGTGTGATGTGCAAGAACGAAGAGAAGTTACTGAATTACTTGTTTGTGCATTGCTCTTTTTCTCATCAGATTTGGTCTCTGTTTTTGAAGGAATTTGGATTGCTTTGGGCAATTCCTAGTAGATGTACAGAGTCGCTCGAGTTTTGTCCTCCACCATCTTGTCTCAATTGCAGGGGGGAAATTTTAAGGTGGGTTACTATCTTGGCTATTTTTTGGGGTATTTGGTTAGAGAGGAATCACAGAGTTTTTGAGGATTGTGGGGAAGATAGACTTGTTTTATGGGATAAAGTGAAATATCGGGTATCATTATGGGTTTATAGGGATAAAGAGTTTGGTCGGCCAATTTAGGAATTGGGCATCTTTTTTATAACATCGTAGTTTAGTTGTTTCGTTTTGTATTTCTAGGATTGCTTTTGAGGAAACCTATTCCTTGTTAGGAATTGGGCATCTTTTTTATGACTTCGTAGTTTAGTTGTTTCATTTTGTTTCTGGGATTGCTTTTTGAGGAAACCTCTTTCTCTTGTCCCTATAATTTTTTCATTTCCTCTTTATTTTTCAATAAAGCTTTGTTTCTTTTCAAAAGAACAAAAGAAAGTCTGCGAGGAATTTTTCAGGAACGGTGTAATTAATTCAGCAATTAATCCACTTTTCTGTCTTATTCCATAAAGACAGATTCATGGAAGTTAAAAGGGTTATAGGCCAATAAAGACAGATTCAAGGAAGTTAAAGGATTATAAGCCAATAAGTTTGGTGACGCGTATGTATAAATTATTGGCAAACAGATTGAGGGAGGTATTAAGCGACACAATTTCGTCGGCACAAGGTGCTTTAATGAAGGAAAAATAGATTTTAGATGCTGTGCTAATCTCAAATGAAGCATTGGAGAAGTTTAGTGTAAAAAGGAAGAGAGGGCTGGTTTTCAAGGTGGATTTCGAAAAGATGTATGATCATGTGAGAGGGCAATTTTTAGATATGGTGATGGGAAAAAAAGGTTTTGGTTGCAAATGGAGAAAATGGATAAGAGGGTGTCTGGGACTGGCTAATTTTTTGATTTAGAGCATCAAGGGGATTGAGGCAAGGATGACACTTGTTGCTGATGTGTTAGGTAGGCTAATGGACAAATCCTTGGACGTGTGTGTGGTGGAGAGGGGTTCACAATTGGAAGAGGAAGTTACTGTGTGACACTGCCAATTCGCAGACACTTTGTTTTTATTTGGTCCAAGCAATGAGAATGTGTGGAATGTAAAGTCCATTCTGAAATTCTTCACAATCTGTTCGGGTTTGAAAATTAACATGGGAAAGAGAAATTTAATTTATATAAATGTTGAAGAGAGTGTGGTACAAGAAATCACGGCGGAATTAGTGTGTGAAGTGGGCCAATGGGCATTGAAATATTGGGGACTGCCTTTGGGGGGGAACCCTTTGTTTATGGAGTTCTGGATGCCCGTGATAGAGAAGGTGATAGGATCCCGCCTAGGCCCCCTATTAAGTTTACCTATTCTAGAAAGGGTAAAAAGGGCATTGCGGGTGATGACTCAGGGCAAGGGAGGGCAATGCTGAGGTGGCAAATTCTGTTAGGGAAATCTGTTAGAGAAGTTGGTTAGGGAGAGAATATATGGGAGGAGGAAAGAGGAAAGGGGGTGTGGAATCTGTTGGAACCTTGGGTCGGTCTGGGAGGTAGAGGGTCCTCGAAACCCCTCATTCTTTTCCTTTCTTTCTTTCGTCTATCTTTCTAAGCTAGAAGGAGAGTCTCTCTATAATGGTTGTATGAGAGTGATTCATTAATACATGGAGCCTGTAATGGTTGTATGAGAGTGATTCATTAATAAAAGGAGCCATAACCCATTTTTCTGGTTATTCAGTCTATAATTCTTGCATTTAGTTCTAGATTGAGGACGTTATTTCAGGTTCCTATCAGCTTGGTATTACAGACGGACGATTCATGGCGAACTGACCGGTTGAACCTCGACCTGAGAATCGTGAGGATGCCGTGGAGCGACGCTGGGAGCACCTCAACGAGACGGTGCGCTTTCTTGGAGCGATGGTCGATCCAGTGCCGAGATTACAGGAAGATATGACGATCCTCACAGATCGGGTGGGCCGAGTTCAGGACGCTGTCCAACGCATGGAGGCGCTCTTAGGACAGCACTTTGGGGGAGAGCGCGGCCCTGAACCCCGGCGAGCGGCAAGAGAAAGGGACCGAGGGCGTGAGTTTCAGCCGGCATCGCCGGTTCGGCAGGGGCGAGCGGAACATCAGGGAAAGAAGCTTGAGCTCCCAATCTTCCATGGCGAGGACCCGTATGGTTGGCTGTTCAGAGCTGAGAGGTATTTTGATCAATGATGTAGAAGAGGATGAGAAGGTTATGGCGGCGTCCATTTGCTTAGAAGGGGGCGAGCTCTGGGGTGGTTCCAGTGGGCGGAGACTCAGGAACAAGTTAATTCTATATAAAACAAGTTACCTCTTCATTATTTGGTTTCTCTCTCTCTCTCTCTTCCTTTTTTCCCCTCCTTTGGTTGCTGTTGTTGCTGGCTAGTGCATACTAGATTAAATTCTATGAATATAAGTTTCATTATGCTGTGTATTTTGCATCTTTCTGTAAAAGGGATTTCAGCACCAGTTTAATGTTATACCTTCTAGTTGCTGTGTTTTCTTAATTTTCTGTTGCTGGTATAATTGTGAATGAAAATTGAAATTTGTTAACCTACGTTCCTGATTGGTTTTAACTTTTTTTACAGGTTAAAGAAGGCGGTTACGATCACAAGGTGAATGAAACTGTCAATGTTGTAACTGCAAAGACTACAGAGATTGGACAGAAGACATGGGGGATTATGAAAGGAGTCATGGCAATAGCCTCACAGAAGGTTGAAGAGTATACGAGAGAAGGAGCTAACTTGAAGGCCGATAACTGGCAACGCAATGATAATGAGAACAATGGATACTATCAAGAGTTTAAGCAGAACAAAGAATGGAATTCTACATCTGGAGGGCAGTCCTCATCAAGTGGGCATTTTAATTCTTTCAATTCATCTTCTTGGGATGATTGGGACCAAAAAGACAATAGAAAAGAAGAATCAACAAAGGGAAAATCATCCCACAATAATGATGGTTGGGCTGGTTGGGATGATCCCAAAGATGATGGATATGATGGTTTCTATCAGAGTGCATCTAATACGAAACCTGTTGGTCATAACGGGAAATCGGATGCTACATGGACAGGAGGCGGCTTTCTCTAAGGTTTGTGTTCTATGATGGTTACAATCATGTAGATATAAAACTTTTGCTAGACTTGTGCAGAATGGCTTTTATTTTGGCTGTTGGTCTGTATGTGTGCAACTACAGTGGGAACCTTCTAAAAGGAGATATCTACTTTATGTTTAGTCCAAAATAACTGATTGGGTCCTGAAAATCCAGATTCGTTTGGTGACATCCTGATTATTAGATATGCGTATTTTTTATAGGAAAAAAAAAAAAAAACCTATCTATGCTTGATATTTTGATTTCGATAACGCTTGAACTTAATAATTGTAGGGTCTTGCATTATACTAACCCGAATGTTGCTTCCATAAGCGATGGCTTGTTGAGTTGTATTCTTCCGTTTCTGATGTTATTATCTTCTTATTTTTCCCAGGTAGGATCTTCATTCTTGCATCTTGTTCTCAGAAAATTCACGGATTACCCATAAACGGACGGTTTCCAGTAGCACCTTAATCGAGGGCCGAAGGCATGGCGAGATGATGGATGTTAAGTGCTGCTGACAACCTATTTAGAATCCCATGATGATGGGGGATAGACTTTTGTGGAGGTTAGTATATTCTTGTTGACCCTTATATTTTCCTTTTCATTTATTCTCTCTTTCTAAAAGAATTTGATTTGATGTAACCTATTGGGGAAACTTGGGTGTGTTTCGAAGTAATTTTATAGTATGTTCAACTGTCAACAAGGAGGGTTAATTTGCCCAAATCAAAAGAGAACTTCTATTTGTAAGTGTGAGGAATTTTAAGGTTTCTTTGGATTTGTAATCGACTTTCTTTTTCCGGTTATCTTTTATTCTTATGTTTCAATACTCGTCTTACATTCTGATAAGTGTCTAAATCCTTTAATCATTTATTTAAGTTTCTCGTCAATAAATATAACTTTTAAAATGTTTCTATAAAATTATAAGAGCTGAGTGAAAATGTTCCTTGAATTAAGCTTGTTAAAGAACCGGTCCTCTACATTAATACCATAATTGGAAGAGACTCTTATCTCAATGCGTATGGCTTCTTATGCATGTCAAATTCAAAAAACAAGAATGTGTTTATGCTCGTCTAATTTCAAAAGTTATCTGCGTCGTACAGAGAAATTGTGAAGTTGGTAATTCGAGGAATGATCTTGGGAGAGCATGTTGGGTGGGTACCAAACTGATCAACCTGCCGGAATCAACTCAAAACCTAATTAATAATGGTTTAGTTTAAATTGAAAAAAATAAAAATAAAAAAAAATAAAAAAAGGGATTAAACTTGTTTGGTTTGTAGGTTTATCCTTACAGACACTAAGCTAAGTCAAATCAATTCTATTTATATATCTTATTTTTGAAATTATGTACGACTATATCTATACTCATGTGTATAATAAGGAGATCATTTTTTATTTACGTGTATTTTTTGTGAGAAAAAATACTGTAGCGAACTATGAATCATGATTTGAATCGGGCACGAATTTCATAACTAAACAACCCTTAAGTCAAAAAGTAGGCAGGTTACGGTTAATTTTTTTTTTCTTTTTGGCCCTTTTCTAATTTTTTACTGTTACATTTGTCATATTTTATCTTCTTTCTATCTAGACGTGTCCAACGTATATAGTTTAAGAATGGTAATTCTATCCGTTAACTCATTTACTCAGGACGGAGAAAATTTGGTTAAAATGGATGAGGATTAAATTTTAAACGCGTATCGGGTGGGGATGGGTTTGTGCACAGACAGTTTATGATTTATTTCTAACATTTTCAAAATGCACATTATTTAATTAATCCCTTATATTTTATTACACTTTAACTAAAATAAGTTAAAAAATTGAATGGACATAAATGCGTGTGCCTTATGCGTGCAGTTTTTGCTAGTGTTTTATATATTTGTTAAAGTACTAGTTGAACTCTGCGTGTTATACCCGTGGAGAGTAATCTCAGTGTTAATTTTTTATTATTGTGTTATTATTATTTTTATTTAATAATAAAGATCTTAATTAGTTAAATATTTAATACACAATTAACACAAACTTCTTTATAAGTATTACTGTTAAAATGACAAGAATTACACAAGAAAAAATTAAATGGGGATATGTAGAAAAATATATTTCAATGAGAATACTCAGGGAAAAAAAAAAAGCTATTTAAAAAATTACATTGAAAATGGATTACATTGTAGAGAATCTTTTGGCAAAATAAAAATTAAAAAAAATTAAGTACGGGCACATATTAAAGAAATTATGTTAATAGGAAAATAAGGAAAAATCACATTTTAAAATTACTAAACAGAAAAAGAAAATTATAGAGAATGCAAGTATTGAAAAAATAATAGTTGCAATTGAATAAGGTGCAGAAGAAGGAAAATGCACATCACAATAATGTGTTTTTGAAATAAAGTTTCGAAAATGAGTCATATTTTAAAGTACAAAATCCCAAAAAGGAACAAAAATAAATGGCAAGAAGCAACAAAAAAAAGTAGGTCAAAAAGGACCAAAATGAAAAATAAAAAAGTTTTAAGTCCAGCCTGGCCCAAAATTCCCATTAGGGCCGTCGGGCCCGGGCCGGGCGGCTCAAATTTTCACCTATAGTTCTAATAACGGGAGCTTCTTTGGTAGGACTAAAAAAATGAGTTATTGATAGTTTTCTATTTGTAATGGTCAGATCTGTATCTGAAAATGTATGTTTTGCATACTGACAGGACTCTCCTACCAGTCTACTTTTTTTGTTAACAGTCTACTTTTTTTAAAGGCTTTACTCTTTATTGGTGATGATGATGTATTTCTCTTCTATTGTAAGCATATATTATGTGACTGTTAATAGAGACTTGGCTATTTTTTATGTTGCCCAAGTTATTTGGTTTTATGCCTTTACCTAAAACCTTCAAGATGTCAATCAAAGACGTTCAGCGACAATGTCTTCATGAACGGGTCTGCAAGGTTGTTCTCTGATGCGATCTTCAGGACCGCTACATCGCCTCTCTCGACAATGTCACGTACAAGGTAATATTTTCTCTCGATATGCTTCATACTCGTATGACTTATTGGTTCTTTAGAATTAGTCACTGCTTCATTGTTGTCACGGTACAGTTTAATAGGCTCATCCATGCCAGGAACAATTTTCAGATAAGTCAAGAACTTACGAAGCCAGGTAGCTTCCTTTGCGGCTTCACAAGCTGCAACATACTCAGCTTCTTTGGTGGAGTTAGCAACACACTTTTGCTTGACACTCCTCCATACCACGGCTCCTCCGTTAAGAGTGAACACAAATCCAGATGTCGACCGTCGACCATCCCTATTTGACTAAAAGTCAGAATCTGTGTATCCGGTGAGAGACATATATTATCTGGAATAAACAAGCATATAGTTTCTCATTCTCTGAAGATACTTGAGAATGTATTTCACCGCAACCCAATGATCCAATTTTGGGTTAGACTGATAGAGACTAACTACTCCCACTGAGTAGCAGATATCAAGCCTAGTACATATCATGGCATACATGAGGCTCCCAACTGCTGATGCTTACGGATATCTTCTCATGTCTTCTTCCTTTTATAGAGTTTTAGGACATTGCTCCTTAGAAAGATGAATAATGAAGGCAAATTCTATTTCTTGGAGTTCTGCATCGAAAATCTGACAAGCACTTTGTCAATGTGTGATGCTTGAGACAATGCCAATAGCTTTTTCTTGTGATCTCGAATGATCTTGATCCCAAGAACATAGCTCGCCCTTCTCAAATCTTTCATTTGGAATTGGTTGGCTAACCATTCTTTTACATTGCTCATGGATTCTACATCATTCCTAATGAGTAGAATGTCATCCATGTAAAGAAGTAGGAATACCACTTTCTTGTCCTTAATATACTTGTAGACACATGGTTCATCTTGGTTTTTATCAAATCCATAAGACTTCATAGCCTCATCAAACCGGATGTTCCATGATCTAGAAGCCTGCTTTAATCCATAAATGAATCTCTCTGCAGCTTTCAGACTTTCTGCTATTGGCCTTCTACCACAAAACCCTCTGGTTGGTCCGTATAGATGGTTTCCTCAAGATAGCCATTCAAAAAAGCTATCTTAACATTCATCTGTCATATCTCGCAATCGAAGTACGTTGCGATGGATAGGATTATCCGAATGGATTTAAGCATGGCTACTGGCGAGAAAGTTTTCTCATAGTCAACTCCCTCTTTCTGGTATAACCCTTAGCCACGAGCTTTGCTTTGTAAGTCTCCACTTTACCATCCGTTCCTCTTTTTCTCTTGAAGATCCATTTGCATCCGATGAGTTTTACCCCTTCAGGTAGATCTACAAGTTGCTAGACTAAGTTAGAATACATGAATTTCATGTCTAGCTTCATAGCGTCTTACCATTTTTCCTTGTCAGCATCCACCATTGCAGCCTCATAGGTCGATGAATCTTCCTTACCGTCATCAGCAGTGACGATCTGTACTTCCCCGGTATACCGGTAAGGTAATCTGATTACCCTCCCACTACGATGGGGTACCACGGGTGCTTGATTAGGAACAGTGGTCTATTCTTTGTTGGCTTTCACAACTCTTATCGATTGTGGTCTGATCATGCGAATCACATCACCCATTTAGGTTAACATGTAACATTTAGCCTTGTTGTTGGCCTTGATCTAGTGATCATAGGCTTTTCTTGGTGCTTTCTCCATAGGTTCAGGAGGATATTTCTCTGTCAAGACAAATTTATAATCATCACATATATTCAAATTATTTTTCCATCTTTTATAGTTATCTCCGTTTAGTTTGTCAGCCGCAAGTAATGTGACAATAAAATTTGACATGTTGCTAAAATAGATAGTAAATTCAATTTCAATTTATGCGCATGAATATGATAAATAAATATTTTGGCATGATTAAACGTGATGCATGATGCACATGATAAATACATAAAATCATGGTTTAATATTAAATGCCAACGATAATCCAATTTACCACAAATATAGTGCCGTCGTAGGGTAAGTCAAAATATTTACAAATTGAACCGAAACTTTCTCAATTAACAAGGTTATCAAAATATTTCATATTTTCAACCTTTATTAAATATCGTTATTCTAGTCAAAATATAATTAACACTTTAATTATATCTTATGAGTGTAACCCACCGTTTTAGATCCAACAGACTTAACTCTGAAGTGCCGTTGTAGGGTAGGTCAAACCGGAAATACATCTTTGAATCCTATCGCTAGGAAGTCAACTTTGGTATTGATCTAGAATGGACACTCTCTGGAAGGAGGACGAAATCAAAGGCATCGCGAAGCGCCATTCCGGATCTCACGGTGTTGAACTAACAATGGAGACCAATGGGTCGTGTTGCCATACAACCCTCTCCCACTTAATATTTTGCAAATATGTATTTTCTTTGAAAATCATTACATGGTTTTCAAATTTTAATAAAATAAATATTTTATTTTATTGAATATGTGAAATTCTAAAATTTAACTCTTAAATTTCATTTCACATAATTGCATTGTTTTGCAAATTCCTATGCCCGAGGGATTACAAAATTTGTAATCGAATTGAAATTGTAAATGAATAATACCGATCCATGGAACCATATAATTAACGACCAAATCCATCGTTCATACATTCATTAAACATGAAACTATAAACATCCATAATATATGCAAGTGTCTACCCATCATATACATACAATCTAAATATCACATATTTAATAAATATTGATTATCACATAATTATGGCATAAATTAATATAGTCTATAGACCGCTCTAATACTAATTGTTAATTTTTGAAACATTTTCGAGTGCGGAAGCATGGTGGTGCGGATCGTGTAT